TTCTTCATCAACCACCACAAAATCTTCTGGTTCCTCCGATAGTAGTGACCCCAATTCGACTACCACTCAACCGGATTCAGCCTTATATCAGAGTGCTGCTGCTGCATATGTACAGCAATACGGCAATTGGCCTAATTATTATCAACAGTTTGGGCAGCCAATGAATCCAGCTGCGGCTGCATTTTCTGCCTGGCCGGCACAATGCTATGCACCTCCACATTGGCCAAATTATGGTGAGTTAAATTCAATGAAATTTATGTTTATGGCGACTATATGGCACTTTAATTCGATTTTCTCGCTCAATCATCTTTGTGTTTATTTGTCCATCTATCCATCTCTAAGGGCCAATTCATGTGTGTATACATACTGCTAATACTCATTCCCTTTTTTTATTTTATTTAATTGTCCATAAATTTTTATTTAATACCCTTCTCACCCCTTTTAATGAAGCATTTCATCGGGCCCCATAGATCATTTAATTATTAGGTTAAAGATTGATCCAATTTGTCTATTCGATAAAATTAAAAAATATTTAATATTTAAGAAAATAAATCCTCAACGGCTTCATCTATTAAACCATTAAAAATACTTTTAGTTCAACTCTTGTCCGATCTCCTCAAGTATTTCTTGCAGTCATCATAGATATCACCATACAGAGAACTTCCTCACATCAATTTTTATTTAATGCCGCGTTTATTACTATTACCAGTAAGCTAACGATAGTTTTGTTACTTATCATTAGCGGATGAATATTCACTAATGATAATCCTCATCGTAGTGAATTATAGCAGTAACATTGCACTATCGTTAGCTTATTGATCAATTCTTTGAGTTTAACCAGTTCTCATGAAACTCTTTCTTATAAAATTTAAAGTCAGCGTCAATGAAAAACCATCTTTTATGAATTTATTAAATTTTACAAAAACATAGTAACTTTTGAAACTGAAAAGAATTTTGAATTTCATCCTTCATTTTTTCCATTTACGTATCTTTTCACATATCTTCATACCAGTGTTTTTCGCAATCAGTTAACAAAATCTGACCTATTTGTCACTTTATTGTCCCTCGTGAATTGACTACTCTTTTAAAAATATTTTTTTGGTAATAGAGATAATTTTTAGAAATTGTTAAAAGTTAAAATTAAAATTTATGCAAGTTTTCAAATTGAAGTAGAAATCCCGAAATGACAAAGTGAACGAGATCGAAAAAGGCGATGAAATTTTTGGGAGAATTTTGTTTGATCTAAAATTGCAGCGCAATCGAAGAAGGGTCGTCAAACATATCAACGTTATCAAACATCGGTGCTCGAAAGCAAATTCCAGCAAAGCAGTTATGTGAGTAAAAAGCAACGTGAAGAGCTTCGGCTACAGACCAATTTGAGCGATCGACAAATCAAAATATGGTTCCAAAATCGTCGAATGAAGGCGAAGAAAGAGAAGAATCGTTGCGAAGAGCAAAATGAGCATTCTGCTTTGCTTCCAGCAAATCCTCCCAAGCAATTAGTAGTTGATAGTGCGGCTGCGGCTGCGGCTGCGGCTGCAGCTGCAGCCGCAGTTGAAGAACGTGTGGATAAAAAGGTAGCCACTGGCGCAAGCTGGTGCATGCCAGCAATGCCAACGATGTCTCAGCCATGGCCTAATCAAGTACCACCTCACCCGGCATCCTATGTACCCTATCCTATTTGTCCGCCCAATATATGAAATCTGATTTGATGGGTTTTATATTTTTATGTGTGCATTTTTACATGTGCTATAATACATCCGATCAATGTTTCTCTTTATTTTATTACCGGTGGTTTCTGTTGATTATAAATTATACGACAAACTAATGCTCATTTAGTTAGAAGATATGAAGTCATTTGACCAAAAGACCTGCAAAAAAGAACAGTCAGTCTTCTGCACAATTGCAAATGAGCTCCTTAAGCTGCATATGCAAGAAATTATTATAGTTAAAGATAACCAGTAAAGTAATTTATTTATTTGAGTAAAGTTAAAACTTCTAAAATCCGATTAAAAATTTTATGTGTTAATTTTTCTTTTTAACTTATGCATTTGAATTAATTTTGTCTGAAAAACCGATTTTTCCTTTTGGTTTGATGATTTTATATTTGATTGTGATCACGTTTTGACTTTAATTTTATATGATTACAGTATGTGAGAGTGTTGTTTGAGCGCCTTTTCTTTTGAATGAACAAATGAATTTATGAATAACAAAAAATGTTGTCGCCTTTTTTCCAGTTACAATTCAGCAAGATTTTATAAAAATTTTTTTCAACACTCAAATTTTAAGCTTTAATATTTAAATAAAAATTTTTGACATCTATCTTATCTTAAAATTTGAGTTTTAAAGATTTCTTGCTAATCTGAAAATTTTTTGTTACTATCGCTAAAACTTTGAACTTCTCAACTTAAAACTTCTGAACATTAAATCAACTAGATTTATTCGAATAACTTTTATTATTTACAAAATGTAAGAAAACTGATTCTCATTAGTCTTCATCTTCTAATTTCCCAAAATGTTACATTGAATTACATCTACTTGCATCTCTAGCCTAATATTTTCATTTTGTAAACATATTTAACAAAATATACCAAAATTAAAAATTTTCGTTCACTGAAAAACAAAGAAAAGCTTGATGAACAAGAATTTAATTTGCATGTCTATGTATTCCTGTGCTCTTCACTTCCAGCGATGATCCAGAAACAAAATGCAAAAAAGGCATTCATTGCAGATAACTGTAAGAAGAGAGGAAGGCAAACGTACAGTCGTCAGCAAACGTTGGAACTTGAAAAGGAATTTCACTACAACAAATATTTGACCCGCCGACGGCGCATTGAATTAAATCGAATGTTGGGCCTCACTGAACGGCAGATCAAAATTTGGTTTCAAAATCGACGGATGAAGAAGAAAAAGGAGGATAAGGCAAAGGAAGAGCACAGGAATATTCATAGTTTCGAAAATTGATTCAAATTTTTAAAACACCTTTTTTTTATAATGCTAACTTTGGATATATACATATATACATAATAGGCTTAATAATAGGCTTAAAAGCTTTTTCACTACTCGCTTCATGCCGTACTTTGTTTTTAGTTAATCCATTTTGTCTAATAGCAAGAAAAAAAAAAACTTTCAAGTATAATAAACGGAATATAATTAACGCTCAGTTTTACTCTCAGAGTGGATCTAATTTTCATGAAACTTAAGCTATTATTACTCATGTAAAGTTTATTTGAAGTGCAAAAGTTAGTAAAATTTTGTAATATTATCTTTTCAAATTTATCCAAATACAACATTGCAACCCTTTAATCTCCACTATTTATTTATATAATGCGCATGTATTAATAATACTAGTCAATGAATTTTTGCAAGTTAAAAAAAGGTTCAGTTTTTTGTCCTTTTTGAACATTAAAAGAATTCAAATTAAAATTATATTATTTCAAGTATAACCACAAATGTTCAGCAAAAAAATATCTCAACTGATATAAAATATATACAAACTTAATAGTATTATTGCACAGATTGTAAAAAAAGAAAAAGGATTATGAATGTTTTTAAAAACATTGCCTACTAATTAATTAAAACAGATATGGAATTTAGAATTATAGCCGGAAAAACATTTATGCTCCGATAGGATACCCTGAAAGTTTCAAATGCATTTTAACTTCTACTAAATTTTTTCGCGTTTGAAATCAGTAGTAGTGAAATTAATTTAGCTGACAAGTTTTTTACAAATATGAAAAGTGAAATTTTAAAATCAAATTAATTCCGCATATTTTTATAGCTGAATTCATGAAAACCGCAAATGTTATGGTTATAACAAATCTTCTTTTCGGCAATAGCAGTAGCAACGGTGTTAATAGCAATGAATAGTAATTTGAAAATCACAAATTTCCTCAAAATTTCATTGATTCTATAATTATTTGCAACGCACTCTCTACTAATAATATCTTTGTTCAGTCGTTCTGAGCCGAATAAAATTCACACCCACTTCATATGACCTTTCAATTTTTTTTCCCACTTCAAAAAACCTCTATACGCAACAAATCTTGAAAAATTGTTACATTTCACCAGAGATTCGAATTCATCCTGTCATACAAAGACTTATTCAAATACTCTTCACTATGCAAAATACAAAGTTGTATTTGGAAAATTAAATGTTTAGCATAGCTTTTGTCCTTTCTAAAGAAATATTCCAAGAATGTCGTTTCTGACCGTCTAAATTATAGGTGCTGCGATTCTGTAATATTTCCGATCAATTTTGTACTAAATACTAATACATTTTAAATCTATCTTTTCAATCCATCCATCATTTCGCCAAAAGTTGCGTCTTAAAAGGCGAAGTCCACCAAATTGAATTCATTCAATAAAAAACTTGTCCTCTCACTCCCAAAACTAAAATATATTAGGTTTGTTATTCAGCATCTATTTTTATCCTTCCATCTTTTTGATAATATCACATCAAAATAACTGCTAATCCTGACCAATATACTCTCTACTCTATTCCTCCCCACATACAGTAACCGATGTCCTCATCTGGAAATCTGCTTGAATTATTGATGAATTCATTCACCGCTTTCAGTTTTATTGACTTTTTAAGTATCACAAGAGAAAAGAATAAGATAAACAGAGTGAGAAAGGAAAGATAATTTCTGTAGGTTAAAGAAATAATGACCAATTTTATGTTCAGATGATAGATATACATGTTAAGCATAGGATCTATTCAAATTGATAATAAAATATACTTTTAATCACAAATAGAAATTACTAATTTGCATTTGTTTCACACACCGTGCAAAACAAAATGCAACAAAACTGATAACAAAAATAGAAAATAACATTATCGATCAATGATGATTTCAAGTAATTCAATAAATTTAAATTAAAACAAAACGACAAATAATTAGGAAAATTTACCAATAATAATTTTTATACCGAAGAAATTAAAATTAAACTGTAAGAAATATTGTAACAAGTCCTGAAGATAAACAGAAAAAACAAGTTTAAGCATTTTTTCTAATCACTTCTGGATTAAGATGTATGTTCGAGCTCACTGCTCCACCGATTAGGCATTTCTTTAGTTGTTCCAACAACGCCAATGCGCTCTCATTCGATCCACCTATGCGTTGCTGAAGTTCCTGAAAGTATAGGACATAATCGGAAATATCATATATTAACAGAATAACAAAGACAAAAAATAAGCTAATTGTCATTTTCCAATCTAAGATTCGAAACTATCGTCATCCTTCATCAAAATATATAATAATATACTTCTAATCAATATTTCAGTAATTTGTAATTCAATCGCATTATTTTTGCTCTATTTTTGCGTCATTTCAGTCGTTGTGCACACATCTACTCTTAACGCTTTAATAGCAATTTATGTTTGAATCTCTTCTAATTTTCTTAAATGAAAACGAAGCTCAAAGAGAGAAGTATTGTTGTCAGCAGAAACATTCATGATTTGTGCTTTTGACTTATTCCATTTATAATTAGCATCATAAAATTTAACGGGAATAAAAAGGCATATAAACATATATACACAGTAATCCAGGGGACACATATATGCATAAAAACATCCGGAAAGTCTATGTATGAGTCTTTTAACTCGTTTCAGGGAAGTTCATAAAAATAGTTCTAACTTGATTATAGAGAAATGCCAGCCTTATAGCTATATATAAGCTCTCTTACCCTGCACTCTATTAAGTCATTAAATTGGAAAAAATTATAAAATTTGATATGTTTATAGACTTTTATACAAGTATAAGTTACCCTTAGTTTCAGCTTAACTATGAACAAACCATTTTCTCCCCATCGAAAAAAATCTATGATAAACTTAAAATTGGCATATTAAAACCAGCTGCGCTTTTCTCGTCAAAAAAATGTGAAATCAATTGAATTTTCTTCTGAATGGAATAAAATACTTACCAAAATCAAATTGTTCGGAGCATTTGATTCTATCCGTTCTCTGTTATCACCACTCACTGCATTCTGATGATGCTTTTCCTGCCGTTTTATGTCACCTTCGTCATTAATACGTTCATTTAATCCACAGATTTTACTCCTTAAAAAATAAATTTGTTTCAATTATTTGAATCGCTATATCACAATAACTAAAAATTTTTTATAAGTGAAGTCTGAAGCATATGAAAAAAACAAACGACGGATATTCTGACAATGACATATAAATAATGTCATTTAATTAGAGATAGCAAACTGAAAATCCATAAAGAACGATAAAGCTTGTTTGATGAAAACAAAGAATGAAACGGTACTTACTTTACTGTATAATT